GGCCCTTACGGCATCCCCGCGCCCCCCGATGCCCTCCCCGGCCGCAGTCCCGCCGCACGTCCCGGAGCTCCCCCTCTCCTGCCAGGACCCCGCTCTGGGCACCCAGCCCTCCGGCCCCGGCCCTGCACCAGATCCAGATACCTTCTGCCTTCTCACCTTTCCCAAAGCTGTGATGGGGCAGCAAATTCCCCAGCAGCTGCGTTATGCCCAACAGCCCAGCCCTGTGCTCACACACACGTGAAAACCGTCAGTGTGGACCCCAGGGGCTCGGGCAGCCCGGAGCATCCACACCCTGGAGCGCAGACCCCCAGGAGCACCGGATTGCAGAGCCCCCTGAGCCCGAAGTAGAGGGCACCATGTGAAGTGTGACCACCTCAGGTAGGGATTCCTTCACTCCTGTCTCGTTCCAGGGCAGTCACTTCCTTTGAGCAAACCCACCATCACTAAACACTGACCCACTTTCTCGGCTAACGGAGTCCTGACTGTGGTACCTCCTCCACCTCTTCCCCAGCACCCCTCATTGCTGCCTGCAGCCCCCTTCTCCAGCATCACCCCAGGGCACTCCTCCTCCTTTTTCCTCCACACCTTTTCCCTCTCCCTGGCTTTCCTCCCTTCACATTGCAAGTATGATCTGTGCTCCCTCTAGGGAGAAAAAAAAGAAAAGACGCCTGACTCCCCCTTAAACTATTTTTACCTTACTGAAAGCCCTGTCTGCTAAGCCAGCCCAGGTCTTCTGCTTCTCTAGACCTCTCCAGGGAACACCTTAACGTCAAGCACCTCCCTTTCCCCCTCTTTATACAGGAGTCTTTGACTCCACCACCTTGACTCTTCCAAACTCCCATCACCTTCTCGGACTATGCCTTCTCTTTGAGCCCTGATCCTTTCTCCACAGCAGACCTCATCCTACTTCTCCAGTTTTCTGGATGCACCCAGGCCTTGGACACAGCTAAATCCCACCTACAGCTCTTCCCCTTCCTACTGCACAGCCAGTGCCTGGGCCAAGCCCCTCCCTTCTCCCTTCTCCCTTCTCCCTTCTCCCTTCTCCCTTCTCCCTTCTCTCCTAAGGCCACTGGTCCCACCATCCACCTCCCCTCCCATCCCTGTCAGTACCACAGACCCCATCACAGCATGCAGGAGCAGAGGTCCCACCCAGAGCCTCTCCTGGGGCTTCACGTCCTGCTCTTCCCTCGGTGTTCACACCTGTCAGCAGCAGCTCTATGGCAGCAGTTCCCTCCCCAGTACCCGCTGCAGAACGCACAGAGCTGCAGCTCAGAGCCGCCACTCCCGCCGTGGCCATGGCCATGTCCTGTGGGCACACACTGGACACATCCCACTGCCCTGCCTCCCAAGACAACGGGCACCTGTGCCCGGGACTGAGCAGAAGGCGCCTGCCAAGCCGCCGGAGCTGCAGCTCTGCCATCTGTGCCAAGGTCACAGGAACACACCAAGTGCCAGACTGGCTCTGACCCGCACGCACAGCATCTGCCATCTCGTCTCCCGAGCAGCCGCACTGCAGCGAGAAGGAGGAATTCTGCAGGAAGCAATTACAAGGGAATGTCTCCCGAAGTACTGAGCACCAGACGGGGCTGGCTGTGAGGACCAGGCTGTCAGAGCTGACCTGTCAGGGGTACCTCAGGCACAGGTACCTGGCTCTGGGCAGGAAACCAGGTGAGGAGCATCACAAGCTCTTTTCCACCATGCCTGGCACAGCTCTGTGCTCCCAGGGATAGAAAGTTCTTCCTGTAAGGAGACGGGACAATCTATATCCATCTCTTTCCAAACCCTGGGTTTAACACATACTCCAACAGCACCAGATGGTTCCCCTTCCACATGAGTCTCAGCTTTTTAAAATATTCTGTCAGGTTCTGGTTGTGAGGTGTCGCTGAATCACAGACTGTCTGCTGGAGAGATGATGCACCTTGTGCTGCCCACTGAGGCAGGGCTGGACATGCTGGATCCCCCTGACAGGGTGTGTCTGACCCATCCCTACAACCTCCCCAAGCCCCCTCCAGCCTGTGACCTCCTTCCGGCTCCAACTCTTCCTCCTCCTGTGACTCCATCCAAATTCTGATTAAACCCACTGAAAAACATTGAGAGTTCCCTTTAGCTGACAACATCCTTTCCCTGTCCTACCAGGATCATATTTTTAAAGCTATTCTGTGTTTTTAAAGCATTCCAAATTCTCTGCTGTTTGTCTCCACCTTTCCTAAACACAGAGTCAAAACTTGGCCACAACACTTAATGGAAACCTCCAGTGGCCTAAGAAGAAATACAGGTACATCTGTCCTACTGCATCATCCCAGTAAGATACTGGTCTATAGCACAGTAACAGCGTAACAACTGTTCTTACCTAATTGGGCTGTTTTGTGGCAAAGATTCCCAAACGCTGTGTGAATTGATATGTATACTGACTGACCCCCTTCGTTATTCCAAAAGACTCCTAAAATAGGCTAAAATGGAGCCCTAGAGTTAAGTCCTGGGGTTGAAGGCTGCAGGGCACCTCCACACAGGCTGGGAATCTGTACCCCAGAAGGGGTTCAAACCCTGCCAGTCTCAGCAACACATGGGCTCCAGCTGCCTCAGCCCTCCACCCATGGAGGAACTGCTCTGAAAATGAGGCCAGAAAACACCAGGGTTTGAGGAGAGCTATCACTGAAACTCCCCACATGCCTTTAATGTGTCTCTTCTCCAGCAGTTCACACCATAACCACAGTGGGTTGGACTGGAGCTGTGTCTATGTCTAATGCAGATGACAGGTGACAGCTCACCT